CCTCGAGCTCATCCAAGAACTCGTTAAGACATTCCCTAATCATTGGATACATTTTACGCATCTTTCCCGACGTAAATGTGGGACTCATTATAGATCTCAAGCGCTTCCAGTCTTCGCCTCTCGAGTGGAACAGATTCTTATCCAACACCTCGTGAGGCGCCGGTCTATACACGCGATCTGAGAACAGGTGGAAGTCCTTCACTAAAATGGTTTTAATCAGCTCTGGTTTGGCCACTTTCAGCACTGGATCTGATTTGTTGAATGTCCTGGTATAATTAAATTAGTTTTATATTTGATTTTTAATAAATAATGTATACCGTACATAATATGAGTGTATAATATAATCTAAATTAACTGTAAAATTTACAATATATAATAAATCATGAAATTATAATTAATCTACTATAAAGTTATAGATTAATAATAAAATGTTAAAATTATTCTGTTACCATCTTAAGTAACCTTTTTATTTAAATAAATAATAACTTACAAGTTAGTTTTGCTTGCTATAATATTAGTAAATTAAGTAATTGGTAATTTAGATAAATAGGATTTTAAATACCCATAAAGTGATCCAAACTTTTTATACCAGTCCAATTCAACTAAAGGCATGCATTTGATAAAGGTATACAGATTAGTGCCCGCAAATGGATAAGGTTTCGGTCCCTTCAGGTTTCTTTTGGTCCAGTAATTAAATGTTTGTGTCAAACGCCTAAATATATAAAAATTAATTAACTATATCATAAAAATTATTTCATTAAAATAATTAACAATAATTACCAATATAAAAGCGCAATTATTGATAAGGCAGTTAGCCCTATCCATGAAATCCACGACATGTCCATCATAGCACTTATTGTAACAAATAATTATTGTGAACAACTTTTGAACATAAATTTAATTTTTTGTTATTTTATGATCACTACTGTATACTAGACTATAATTGTATGATTTAAAGACTATGGCTTAAATACTCTGGAAATTACTGTTAATATACTATGTTTATATTTGGGTACATTTATTTTAGTACATATTTACGTACATTTATTAAATTGTTTTGACCAATGTCTCAGTGCAAATCACTATTTTACCCGGGCTTTTATTAAATACTACATACAAGTTATATTTAAGTCAATTATAATAATTATATTTCTCTAATATACTTATTAAAAAATATTTATAACTTATATTTGAATTTGATATAATATAATAATTAATTTTTGTAATAAACCAAAACTAAAAGTTTGACATCCCTGGGCTTAAAACTTTGTTTATTGTACCGATATAGATTGTACAGTATCATACAAAATGATAAAACAAATTAATAAACAATTTAGCCGTCATTCGCAAAGTACGTACGCAAAATTGTGGTCAAAATGGACCCCTCCCCTTACACGCTCATCGTATAGAATAGTACATAGGAGTTCAACATGGGGACATACGCTTTGGCAACCCCTCCCCTACGAGTGCGTACGTACTTTGCGAACGACTCCTTATAAGAAAGCTATTAAATTTTATTAATAAGCACATGAGTACAAATATTAATAGAGTGTATTTAATATTATACAAACTGTTAATACATATTGCTAATAACTTTAGTACAAAAATCAGGAGACTTTGATACTATTGATTTCTAGTTAATCTCCATTAACTTACGCTAATAAATCAAGTTGGAAACTTTATGAATACAATGAAGTTTTATTTAAGCAAAAAAATAATTTTTATATTTAGATTAAAATTTCTAATTCGCAGCAAGTAATAAAAAAAGTATATTTATGTAAAACTTAATAATAAGCAAATAGACGACAATATAATACAATTTGTGGTGAATTTTTATGGACTCTTATGAATCTGATGGCACTTCTCATTACATTTTACTACTGATCCATGGGTTTAACGCTTTTGAGTTGAACCCTGTCTTGAGCTGGTTTTGGCGCAAACAAAGATGAGACCATTTGGTGAAATGTAATGCTATATAAATAGAGCAAAACACAGCCAACTATAACCAGGGTCAACACAATTAACAGAACGGGGATCAACCACCAGAGCACAGATGATTAGGCACTGGTAGGTTTCGACTTTTGTTTGGCTGGTACGGTAGGTCCACCTGAAGGTGGTCCGAGAGTTTTAGTTTTGTCTCCCGGATGCACTGGATCACTGGTTGTGGTGGTGGTCATGGGAATAATCGTGGGGATACTGGAAGGTGACTCATGGCACCCAAATAGTTGCCAAATTGAGCCGTTACTCAATAGCCGAAGATCTTCCGAGGCTTTGGTGGCGACGGAAACCCTTTTGATGTAATAGAGATCGTCGGAGAACTCAATCAAATCAAACTCATCTCTTGTGCCGTAATTAACTGAAACTCATTTCATTATATGTCTCTTGAAGTCATATGGCTTTAGACTGGGGTTGGCTTTCAATCGTCTTTCCGACGGAATATCTAGTTTTTTACACAAAAATCTGTAATTCATAGCATTAAACCACGAAAATAAGACCAAATACCGAGATAATAGACAAAGAATCTGCGCTTAAGTCCAGGCACTGCGTGAAACGGAAAGTTAGTGACGGCTTGCATTCGGTTCTGAAGGCCTTCCTCGGGATACTTGAGGAACAGGGATAGTATGTTGAGCTGATCCTCTCCCGGCACGTATTTGTATAGATTTATGTTAATCCGGATAAAGGCTAAATCTTCAAAATCATTGGCCACTACTCTGTAAGCAATCAATTGGTAGATATAGTCCTCCTATCATATCGTAATCCGTATCACAAATGAGAATCTAAGCCATGATGTCTTATGAATAGGTATCACCTGTTCATAGCTGACGCCAATAAGTAGTATTTGACCACTGGTTGGATGTTTTACGGTGAAGAATAGTCGGATGCAATGGAGGATTGCTGTGAGAGTAGTGTTACTTGTCTTCCACTTACCATTCATTAGTGTCATACCATTGAAGATCATCTGTTGGTTCTCGTACTGGAAGTCATTGAACCGATAGTATTCAAGTTTGTCTTGACTCGTGTTTAGCATCAAATAAACGGTGCGATCATTAGTACGAAACGATTCAATTAGTCGAGAGGTTGTAATAGAAGCACAGAAAGAGGGCTTATCATCGGTTGGGACAGGCGTTGGGTTTTGACATTTGGTTACACCGATTGCGGTGACAAACATAAACACAACATGAATGCGATTTGTTTGCCATTTCATTGCAACTTAATTGACAAATAGTGATCCTATATAGTGATTACAGGAATAGTGTTAAGAATCTTAGGATTAACTAACTAGTCATAGTTTAAGATTTTGAAAAATTATATTTTAATCTATAGATGAATAATCTAGGTTCAATAACTGTTATTTTTTAGTGTTTGACTAAAATGTTTGAAATTCAAAGTTAATGATAAATACTTCGCTGAAGTTGAGTGAACAGGGTCTCTAAATATTAATAAATTCAATTCAATTATTACTAATAATTCATTAGAGACAGCTAAAATATATGACATAACCTATACCTAGCATAAATAGTGCTATATTAAATCCGTTATTTTTAAATTCAAATTTAATTTCATAAATTTTAGCTCTATTTATGTAATAATGTAACATATTTTATTTGTCTCTAATACTTGGTAAATTCTTTAAGTTAAATAAAGTAATAAAATTTATTAAATAAATACTAAAGCACTGCATAGTTTTTATCAACTTTTTAATAACATTACAAATTGAAATTTACAATAAATAAATTATTTAATTGAATTTAATAAATCTAATTCTTTGAAATTATTATAAAACAAAAATTACAAAATAATGTGAATTTAGATAAACAACAATTAAATGTTTGGACAATATATTACATAAAACTCTGGTTTACAACCAATTTTGAACTGTTTTACAAAAGCAAAAACAAAAACTATAATTAAATGTAATCACAATATGAGTGAATTGTATTTTTATGGATACATTCATCTATTTGGGAGGAGTGTCCTCAACGGATGTAACGCTAATCGCCTCATCACTGCCACCGCCAGACGGAGGCCTATCACTGGGTCCGGGAGGAGCACCAGATTTAGGCGCTGCCGACGATGATGACGCGGCAGCTCCACCTGCGGCACCTCCTGCGGCGCCTCCTG